GAGCATACTACAGTTACATACGTCCATAGGACGTTTTTTCCTTAAAATGGGTCTAAGAATTACCTCCTTAAATATTAGCATGTGTTTAAGGAACACCCTGTGTATGAGAAACAAAACAGCTCCCAGTTTTGATCCTTGCGGTACCCTACATGATCCTTCAAACGAAGGAGCAACTGAATGGTTACAAAATCAAGTTTTCTTCGGTGAACAAATATTATTTTTCAGTTGACTTTGGTATCTGGTGCTTTTTCAATAATGAAAATGTTGATGATCAAGCAAGAATTATACGACATCATGGACAACGGAGACAAGTATGGTAATCTAGAATACATTGCTTGGATGCATCTGATGTACAACAATTTGATTGCTGTTGATCTGTTCCTCATCTATGTGAAGATTTTCAAATACCTCAATTTCAATAGAACCATGGGACAGCTCAATAACACATTGAAGAACGTAGGTTAACAGAAATTCTTTCCTCGGATTCAGGATTATTGAGTTTTGGTTGTTCACTCAACGACTTTCGTGGTTTTTTAGTGTGCAATGGACATTTTGGGATTTTCCATAATGTTTTTCATAATATTTTTTGCATTCGCCGAACTTGGTTATTTGATTTTTGGTAGCGAGGTAATGAGATCGGTTATATTTGAGATCGTTGAAACAACTCTGAACCGTCATTCTAGGTTGAAAATTTCAGCAGCTTTGGAGTAGCGATGTTCACTTTGTTGCGAACCATTCTTGGAGACTTCGACTATCAAGAAATCGAGGCCGCAAATCGAATTTTGGCTCCGATTTATTTCCTGTCATACATCTTTCTAGGTGAAATATTCCAAATAAATACGTGAACTGACTAATAAATACAATGATTTTCCAGTATTTTTCGTGTTGTTGAACATGTTTCTCGCTATAATCAACGACACATACTCCGACGTGAAAACCGAAATAGCCCTAGCACCGGATGAAATGCAGATGACGGAGTATCTGTCTCAGCAAATAAGAAATCTACTGAGAAGATTAGGCTCCAAGTGCGTCTCTGAAAAATCTGAAACCAAGAGCGAGATAAATGCAACACTGAGACAAATTCGTGAGGTCTTGAAAAAGTAATGATTTAGACAATCGACAGTTTCACATACTTCTTCGTATTGTACCTCTGTTTATGAAACATTTTTTGCAGATGCGGCTTCAGTGACCTGGAGATCGAGATGTTTTTCGCAAGATATAACGTTGATCCTCTTGCTGAAATTGGGGTCGCAGACATAGACAAGTTGATGAACGAACTGGAGGATATTTTGAGTGGGCAAAATTTTCCCGTTCATTTCTCAAATTTGTATCATTTCATTTATTTTTCAGAGGGAGAAGATGTGAAATATGAGTCTTCCTTCGTTCGAGTCAGTGATTTTGTTGCGTAAGTAAATACAGCGAGCAGCTTATTTATTCAACAAATTCGTTGTTCGATGTTTTTTCAAGTGCTGACTTTTCAATATACGGGGTATAACATATTCGAGGTCTGGTAAAAAAATAAGGTGAATTTTCAGAAAATGCCAAAATTAGGTACTTTTTAGGTGCTTTTTAGGTACCGAAGTCATAATGCCTATGAGGCATTATGAAAAACCACTAATGACTGATGGACTGAGTTCTTACAATACGTTCCTCGATAAGTAAGGGTATGGGAATAAAGTGCTAATTAGGTGCTCATTAGATATTTACAGTAAATCTAGATTCCATAAATCATATGGGGCTTATGGACCCGATAACCACCATTAAAAAATGTTTAAAATATGTTTTTTCCGGACCGATGGAGATGCTCAAAATGCACCTAACACCTGAATGGGGTTGACCAAAGTGATATATACTGTCCGCCACTCGCGATGGAACCACCCCATTTTTACTGTGGACGGACAGTGTATATCACTTTGGTCAACCCATTCAGGTGGTAGGTGCATTTTGAGCATTTCCATCAGTCCTGAGAGTTTCATCGTTCTACCTCGAATATTACGGAAGATATGGGGGTGTTTCCATAAGAAGTGAGACAAATTCGGATTTTTCAGGACTGAAATTTTTTCAGGAAAAAAGTGTATTCGTAGTAAGTTGGTAGTCCTGATCACGAATCTGAAAGAATTTTGAGCCTATTTTGCCCCCTAATATGTTTTACCGTAAAAATGGGGTGTTCCATCGCGAGTGGCGGACAGTGTATATCACTGAGAGTTTCATCGTTCTACCTCGAATATTGCGGAAGATACGGGGGTGTTTCCATGAGGAGTGAGACATACTGTATTTTAATTTTTTTTTTTAATGGTGGTTATCGGGTCCATGGTGGTTATCGGGTTCATAAGCCCCATATGAATTATGGAATCTAGATTTACTATGAAAATCTAATGAGCACCTAATTAGAACTTTATTCTCATACTCTTACTCAGTCCAAGAGTCATAGTGGTTTTCCATAATGCCCCATAGGCATTAGCGAAATTGGAAGCTTTTGTTTATTGATTAGAAAGTTTTACGATCCTCACCGTTCAGCACTTAATTAGCACCTAATAGTGTTCCCTCAACATTCATTATTTTATTATTATTTTCATTGCGTTGCCAGCATCACATTCTACTGCAACGTAACTTTGAGTATTGAATTGCGGTGTAAGTTACAGAGCACCTAATTTTTGACTTCAATACCTAAAAAGCACCTAAAAAGTACCTAATTTTGGCATTTTCTGAATACGATATCCGTACTTTGCGTTGCTGGCGTAACAGAGCATGAATTTTCAGTTTTCTCAAAAAGTATTTATCAATCCATCAATTTCTATTTCGTTCCCTTCCCCTTCAGATAGCCAACCGATATGCCGAGATCCTCAGCAACTTCTTCATTAGTACATAACAAGTTTCTTCACTTTATCAACATTTTCATCGATCGTTGATGTGCTGGGGCGTCCGTCGTTATTTACATCTTCTCTGCTTTCTGTGAAAAACTTGTACCACATTTTCTGAACCATAGTACAATCATCGTATGCCACTGTCAATATTTCAAACCTATTTGAGCAATCAATTCCATTTCAATAGACCTCGTCCAATAGTATATTGTACAACAAGTGAGAAAAACGACATATATTTCTCACGGGCGCAGAAGTTTGCCGGAAATCAAGTGAGTGAGAAATATGTCATTTTCTCACGCAATGTACACTGTACTTTTTCTACGGTTGCGTTGTTTTAGCACCCGTAGAAAAAGATGATTTCTTCTTATACATCTTGGCTATGTTCATGAAACTTGACCTTGTTTGATTGTTGTTATACAAGGTACGTTCAGAATATAACATGAATTTTCGTTCTGTTTTCTAATTATTTATTCGTCTATATTAATATTGCCTCTTTCAAAATAGTCACCAGAAGTCAGCACTGTTCTATAACGCTGAGCACGCCTACGTTCGTTAATTCTGATTCTGTCAAAAACTGGAACAGCAGCGATACAGCAACATAGTACTAGTATTCAATATTTAATAAATCTGAACTGTTTATACTATAACAATCAACAATAAAACTATTTTCGTTGGGTAAGTTGACAGCAATAATCAAGTAGTGCTTCGGTTTTGTTTTTTATGGAAACGCCGACACTGAGCTACTTGGATATTGCACGCGAATCTCGACGTAGCGTTGTCAACATGGAGATCGTGTCATATCAATCTGACATGTAACAATTCATGACTGACTTGGGTTATCTTGATAACAGTGAGAAATTATTTCTCACTGTAATGGCGGATATTTCTCACTGCGTGAGAAATCATTCGTTTTGAACATATGAAAGCGATGAGAGAAGTGACACATTGTATAGCACCCGTAGAAAAAGATGATTTCTTCTTATACATCTTGGTCTATGTTCATGAAACTTGACCTTGTTTGATAGTTGTTATACGAGGTACGTTCAGAATATAACATGAATTTCCGTTCTGTTTTCTAATTATTTATTCGTCTATATTAATATTGCCTCTTTCAAAATAGTCACCAGAAGACATAATGTACTCATGCCTGCCCTTTTTCTGAACCTAGAAACACCCCCTATTTGAAATAGCTTTCAGATCTTTGAGTGATGTGTTTCTAATGTTACGTATGCTTGTAAACCAACAGTCTCTTTAAAGTCTCTCAACAGTTGTTTCTGGGAGTAGGAAAAAGTCATACGGAGCTATGTCTGGAAAACATGGAGGCTATGGCATCATTACAGTATTGTTTTCAACCAAAAATTCACGAGCAAGCAAATAAACGTGAACAGCTTGAATTATCGCGGTACCAAAGTCATTAATTTTGTTTTCCACAGGTCTGGGCGATTATTATTATTTTTTCGTAAGGAAGCAACAGTTGGTTGACAGAAAAACAAATATTCATCGCGAAAAATCATCATTAGGATTCTAACAGATAGGGAACTCTTCCAAGAAATTGTTGTTTAGATAGCAAATGAGATACAGCCTCATAAACTTCATTACCTTATGAATAGAACCGCAAGAATATGTTTTTTTGCTGTTGCTTTTTGGTTGATTGTTTATCAAACAGTTGCTTCATTTATGTTCAAGTGGCTTGTGATTTTATTCATTCGATGTTCCCTGCTTGTAAGTAGTTGTCATTATATTCAGATTCACCTGAATTGAGCGGGTTCAAAATTGATTTGGTAGCCAGGTACCGCCTCCTTTAACCAACAATCATCAAATATTGAGAATTGTGCGATTTAGTTAACAATTAACGGGTTTTCAATATTTAAAGTGCGATTTTCAGAAGGAGTAAGAAGTTAACGCTAGGTCAGCATCTGCGAACTTGCTTATAGAATGCTGTACAATTCAACCAGCTAGTCTCAGAGCAGGGATCGATCCTGCACCCAACTAAGTGAAGCTCACTAACCAACTGGTTGTTTATTGGGCACTTTTTGTGGGACTAATTGCATTGCAAAGATGAAAATTTCTATTTCCACTTTTTCAGTCAACAAGAGAGGTTGGAGCAAATTGACAGAACAATTGGTAAGTTGGTGGAACAGGTCAAAATACTGCTGCTCAAACTGGATCAGATGAGTAACGTTCGAAAAGTGAGAAACGAATGATAAAATGTAACTGTATTTATTTACTTATAAGTGACTTCTTGTAATACAAACAGATAATATATACAGGATGTTTCATTAGACCTACAACAGATTTATAAAATAGTATGAAATCAGTCAAGACGAAATAAAAAACAAACCAAAACAAACAATACAAATAGAAACAACATATTTTATAAATCCGAGTTTAACTTTGTATGCCTATAATATCAATGATTGAATATTTATGACTACAGAAGTGATTTTTCAGAACTATTATTTTATTCCAAAATATCTCTTTTTTTTTTGTTACACTGTACATGCCTGAGCTAAAATATCTCGTCTCGTCAGGACTCGGGAAAAATTCTAAAACTATTCTCTTTCTCTACCATCTCTTAGCGAAATTTGTCGCTTGAAAAAATTACTAATATCAGTTCTGAAACTTACAACTTCATAAACAAAATGAGCTGTACATGTGATGAGCATTTCAATATATATCACAAATGATGTGGCCTTAGACTGTTAGATATAACCGTACATTGCAACAGTCTTATACGAAGTATACATCTAATATTTACTTTAATAAATATACAATACTATCGTTGCATTTAAATATCTTATTGTTCAACCATATTACTGTAATATTAAGCTAGATTATTCAATAAGATATATTGTTTTTCAGAAATGTTCTTCAGAATAAACTTGAATTTACTCTGAAGAACATTAAAAACCTCACAAGGGATGCTTTCGATATACAGGGTGATTTTTCACGTGGCTCCCACACTTATATTTCTTCAGTTTTCAAAATTATTGTGCAGTTCAACATTTGACGGAGTATTTAAAAATATGTTCAAGCATTTCTCGAACTAACACTGCAAAAATATCACCCTGTATATATTTCAGATGGGATTGCCACATTCTCCTGCATATTACTTATCACAGTTCTACACAGCGAAAACAATTTGAAAAATTATACAAAGGCTAGCTAGAAAACATATACAGAACAAATAATTTCCTAAAAAAATTCTTAAAACAAATTTCCTAAATATACACAGGCTAGTTGAAAAAATACAATATCTTACATTTAGNATATTTATTCCTTAGTTGAAACAGTAAACATTCATGACACGATTCATGAATGGTCCCTACGAATTCATTTTCGTTAATTACATTATCTAAGTGAAGATTATTAGTCTTCAGAATATTTGAAAAACAATAGGAATGTCACAAACGAGTCACAAATTCGAATTTTTTTACTTACTTTTTGGCATGATTTCATTTTCCTGTCTTGGCCTGGTTACCGGCGTTAATTTCATAAGTGTGTGGTGTAGTTATTTTGATTTATGCCAATGCTGCACTGAAACTTCAGTTTATACGCTACAAATAATAACAAATAATGGTTTTCTTTACATTGCGTGAATATTACGGAACAGGAATGTGATATGACAATTTCAAAAACAAAACATACTAATCTTATGATGGAAAAAGTATTATCTGCCAATGTTTTATAATTCTAGGAGTACCTCGTTTTACTAGCGATGTTTTCTGTAGCAATCATGGAGATTGACAGGTGACAGTAGGGAAGTATGACAACCATGTTAGCCACCTATGAAACCCTTTTCTCTGAATAAGACATAATTTTTTATTCCAATGCAAAAATGCTAATGAGACGTTAAAAATGTATGATGTTCTGAGTACTTTTCAAAGCTGCCACTTTTACTGCCGCTGACACTAAAAGTAGACAGTAACCATTGTGATAAAGTTTGGAATTCAGGCTTGTTTTGCAGGTTTGGTTTAAACCAAACTTAAAACCCTAGCTACAGTTTGAGCTCCAGTTTAAACTAATTTTAAACCTCCTGTAGCATTTTGCTGTTTCATTATTATAGGAGTTATATTCATTGTTGAAAAGTTGGCAATTTCTAGGGAATTCAAGGACAGTTGTTGATCGGTTCTCTGTTAATGGTGACATTTTGAAGATGGCGAAAATAGACATCAAGGGAACCAAAAATTTCGGTTGTCAACAATTTATTTTACCTGAATATACATTATTCTCCAAGTCAAACAAACATTTTTTTCAGTAAACCAACATTAGTATCTGTTTCAGGTGGAATTTCATTGTTAGATTATGACTCAACAGTTTACAAAGCTGTAACACATGTTTCCCATATATTGAAGGTTTTGTGAAACACGTGTTACCGTTTTGTAGACTTATGAACACGACATGTGTTTTTCACGTGATTTGTGAAAAATATGGCTTGTTAGTGTTGATTAAAATTGTTATCACGAATTTTCTTTGTATTGATCGACTCCATCACATTCATTTCAAATATTCGGCCCTAGTACACTGTTAACACGATAGCAAGTCAACAAAACTCTTCCTAACATGCAGTAATTTCTCCTTTTTTTAAATAAAGTGCATAAACCTTGTTTTTTATGGTGAAGGTGACAATTTCTTTCTCTCTCTCTTCCTTTCTTTCTAGTGGCCATTTGGACATACTCCTTAAGTTATTAATTAAGGGGAGCTTCGTTGGGGGCGCAGCGGTCTTGCTCTACGCAATGCTGCCACCCTATTTACTTCCTCATACATTTCTATATTATAAATAGACCTGCAAGACACCTAAAAAATGTACAAAAACCAACCCAGTTACCCTTAAACGCCGAGACGAGCTGAAATATGTACTCAATTCTCTAGGGCGTGAATGACAATATTTGCCTTGCACAAATTAACCTCACATTTCTATCAAAACGCTGAAACCAACAACAAAACACCCCAAAGCGAAACACAACCAAGCCAACAGCAACTCCAGAGAAGAAGAAAACTACTTCTTGTCGGAAAAATCCGACAGGTGTCTCTCCAGGGAGTCGCACTCGGCCAACTCTTCCCCATTGACGTGAAACAAGCTGGAAGCCATGTTGGTGTCTATGCTGTCGTAAAATTCGATGTTGTCCCGGGCATTTCCTGCAGTCCACAAAAAGGTATTGGCCGTTTGGAAGCGATGGCTGCCGGAATTATCAGTGATGGATTGCTGGATGGAATCGTTTTTGTCCAAGGAATCCGGGTAGGCAGCCTCCCGATCGCTGTTAAATGAAGAGAGAATCCATGGAGACTGAGATCTTTCTCTTGCTGAGTTTGAGTTTGGTATCTGAAAAATTCAAGTGTGGATAAGTTGGGAGGGTACATCATGGATACAAACTTGAGAAAATGCAAAATGGAAGACTTGGTTATATCTGAAAATGGAGTAATAGCCAAATGTTGGGAAAGAAGGGTTTTGGCTTTTTACTTCTGCATCTTTGTACATGTGGAGGAATGTGAAGGAATCTTCCAAAGAAAAGAGTAAAGTAGGAAGTCAAAACCTTTCTTTCTCAATAATTATCCTATATAAATGTTCATTTGAGGAGGTAACTCAATAAATGATATGATATGGTCATATATCANAGTAAAAATGTAGGCTACTTTCAAATTCTGATGTTTCAAAGAGAAACGTTTTTTTTTATAGTGTGGAAGGTGCAAATTCCCAGGAAGATCCAGAGAGAAAAACTCTGGATTATCTCTACAAAAAATACTTTTGTTCAAGCTTATGAGATAGGATGGGTTTTGAAATAAGGAATACTACAGACTTAGAGATGGCAGCACACCAGTTTTTTGGGACTTTGCAGGCATCTGACACCTGTTTTTCTTCCAAGTCTTCTAAAATACTACAGCCTCATGGGTCCAATGCGTTTTTCTCCATTATTTTCAACATGTATTCCATCAATTTCGTTCCTCGTTTTAGTTCGTACAGGTTATCTATCACATTTGTCAATTTACCATGTTCAATAAGCAGACCTTCGATTGTAAACCGATTCCTGCTGTGTTGAAGCAGTTGAAGCACTGATATTCAGTATATAAACCTAACTATTTGCATGTTTTACTGAAGCACCCTGTATATAACCTTCAATTACTCGAGCAACATCTTCTATCTGGCTTTTGCGAGATAGCTTTTTCCAGAGGAGCTCTCGACAACAAAAGCCACAACAAATCAATTACGAAGTCTTCCATCGGCTCCAAACTCCGTAAAACTCGCAGTTGCAGTCAATTAGTTCGAGATAACGAAGTTGAAATAATTTGGAACAGCATGTGCTTAACTCGTTGAAGATTAACTTTCCTTTTTACGAGTTTATTGTAGAAGTTCAAACCGAGTACTGCGGGCACAGATGTTGAACATTTTTGCGTCATTTGTATACTCGATTACCTCTGGTGAGTCATCACAAACGATGAAATACTACACGGTTGGCGAAATACAATAATGGTAAAAACTGAGTATGAGGCAGAACTTTCGAGATCTCTACCTAATATCATTAGATGATTAGTAATACGGTTAGTTGTTTATTGCAAAATAAAATGAACAGCGGCAAATCTGGTCTATTGCTTAAAGATGCACATGCAACATGCGAGAACGAGTTCAGTAGCGTTACAAAGAAATCTACGAAGGGGTCACGTCTAAATTCCTAGTGATAGTCGTCTTGAAACCCCCTCCAATCAATCGAAAATACACAGGGACAATAGAAAGTCGACCAAACAATCATGAATAGTAAACAGAACACCATTAATGCACATAGTTTACACAGAGTGAGTTTAAACTTTATCATACCTTTGTATAAGACCGTAATTGTATCGATGAACTCACTATTTCAAACAAAACTTTGTTATTTAACAATACCATGAGAGCAAACAGCAGGACAAAACCACGAGTTCATATGACAAGTGATTGTATCTACGAGGGTGTCTCATAAGTACCCCACCTCACCTAGAGATGGCGGTACTTGTCTAAGAAACAACATTGCATCTATAAAGCCTATATTTCAAGTTTGAAGACGCTGCGTTGTTTAGTATTTGTTTGGCAGCCTTCAATAACCAATATAAAAGCTGACCTGTATTGTAGTCTCGGTGAGTCTGCTCCTTCGTTTACAACAATAAAGTATTGGGTAGCAGAGATTAAACGAGGCTGTACGAACTTCCACGACAAGCATCGCAATGGTCGACCAAATGAGGTGACTACTCCAGAAACTGTGAAGGAAATCTACAAAGTGGTACTGAATGACCGTCTACTTAAAGTGCGCGAGCTAGCAGACTTAGTTGGCGTTTCAAAAAGTGCGGTACTTCGTATGCTATCTGGAAATTTGGACATGAGAAAGCTGTATGCAAGATGGGTGTCGCGTTTGCTCACACTCGGCAAAAACAACGTCGTGAAGATGTTGACAGAAACAAAGCAGAAATCTTGCTTCGTTTCATAACCATGGAAGAAACATGGATCCATCACTTTACAGCCGAGACAAAAGAACAATCAAGAGAGTGGACTCAACAGGGAGAACTGGCTCCAAGGGACAGGCAAGGTCATGGCATCGGGTTTTTGGAATGTGCGTGGGATAATTTCTATTGACTATCTTTAAAAAGGCAAAACTATCAACGGCGAGTATTATGAGAACTTATTGCAACGTTTGAGTGAAGAAATCAAGGAAAACCAGCCGTATTTGGACAAAAAAAAATCATGTTTCATCAAGACAAATGCATCAGCTCACAAATCCATTATCACAATGACCAAAATTAACAAATTGAAGTTTAAATGCACCCTATTCGCCATAATTAGCCGCCTCTGGTTGTTTTCTATCTCCAAACTTAAAAAAATGGCTCAGTGGTCAAAGATTTTCCAACGATGTAGACGTAATATCGACAGATGATGGTTATTTTGAGGAGCAAGACAGTTCTTATTATAAAAACGGAATTGAACTTATTGGATGTTGCTGGGTGAGTGTAGGCCTACAGTACTTAGGCCACATGTGATCCATTGTACAACCTCCCAAGGAGTTGTCCTCCCAGGTAATCGTTGCCAAGGGTGATCTAGCAAAATTGCATCCTTTGATTTCATCCCACCTCTTAAGGGATTAGGCATGAGTCTGACGTTTGGCTAGTTCCGCAATTTTCGAAGTCATCAGGCCGTAGGTGCCACTGAGTCCTGAAATTCTTAGTCCAGCCGCTTCCTTGGCTAAAGAGTCGGCAATGCCCTTCAATACACCTCAGGATAATGTTATTATCTACCGAGGCTTTGGCTAAATCTTGGTGGCACTTTAGTACTAGCCCTAAGGTTACACGTTGTCTGTTCAAGGCTAATAGGGCTAGTCTGCTATCGGAACAGATTGTTATGTTTTTGCCAGAAATTCCTTTCCCGGTTATTTCTTTTGTGGCGATTGAGATACCAGCCAGTTCTGTTTGAACCACGCTGTTAATTTTTCCCATTCCCCACTTAATCCTTAGGCTTAGTGATCTATAGTACACTCTACATCCTGAGCCTTCTTTGGTTTTTGAGCCGTCTATATTGCATTTGTAGCATGTAACTCTGTGTTATGTTTTATTTGTATTTTGTAGGGTTTATTAAACACAAACCTGGGTTCAATTGCATCCCTGGTTGCCTGCAGCAGAGGTTGCGCAGTAAGCTCTTCGTGCCATAGGCTCAGCCTCAATTGACCCATTCCTACTTCGAGGTATATACCAGCTGTACGCAATCGTAACTTGGTCATTAAAGTAACCTTAACGTACAGATGCAGAGGGGTCAGACCAGTAAATAATTCCATTGCCGCGGTTGGTGTTGTTCTCATGGCTCCTGTGTTGTTTAAACGAACCAATCGCTGTATTAGACATAATTTGTGAATGGCCGTTGCTTATAGAATTTTCGGTGCATATGCAATGGCTCCGTACGTTAACACAGTTCTTATTATTGCAGTGTAGATCCAGGTGACCACACGGGGTGAAAGACCCCATGCGCGTCCCACTGTCCTCCGACATTGCTCATAAGCCACGTATGCTCTTTTTGCTCTACTCTCTAGGTGAGAGTTCCATGTTAGCTTCCTGTCGAGGATAGTACCAAGGTATTTCACCTCTTCAGAGAAGTTTAGTTTGCTTTTGAAGATTTCGGGAGGTTTTAAGCCCGATAAATACATTTTTTTCCAAAATATTTGTGTTTCGGCCACTCTCGTATTGCTGTTTACTCGATTGGTAATGATAAAAAATAACAAAGTTTAAGTTGAAATAAAAGAACATTCATCTGAGATTATTTTCTGAAATATTCTGAGCTTTATGTATCGATATACGGACAAAATGTCAACTCTCAAATCAAATCAATTTTACTGCCTGAATATCGAAATTTTTTCCACAAGATTCCCATCCATTATTTCACCCATTACTCTGTTAGTACCATAAATCCCTTGAAAATACCCAAGTGAGCCTTTCAGACAAACCTCATTGTTAGTGTCTCAACAGTTTTCCCAAATGAAAAGGATTATATTTCCAAAATTTAACATACCTGACTACACCCCGAATATTCCACTTCTCTATTTAGCCGATTCAAACCTCACATCCCAGCATTAATGTTACATAAATTCATTCAAATGCAACGCCAATGCAGCAGGTTATCTTTGTATGTTAGTTCTAAATCAATGTTTGTGGAAACCTCTAGAAATGCCTTTGTAAATCACATTCAGTATTAACACATGAATACAACCTACCTGCAAGCTGTACATATTTATTCGAAATTGAATTTTCAGTTGGATGGGCACCGTAAGAAGCGGAAAAAGCATATATACAAGGCGACATTAGAATATCAAGGTTATAAATTCAGATTTCCATTTTTTCAATGCCTCTCGATTGTTTTTAGTCAGTTATTTATTTTATTGATCTCATTACCGTTGAATCATTGTTGNAAATTTCCTATATATACACAGGCTAGTTGAAAAAATACAATATCTTACATTTAGATCTAATTGGATATCATTCAATTAATTATCGAAATGCTTTGAAATGCATCAGTGACAGAGATTTTAAATATCAGTACATTATCTAAAAGCACCATTCATTGAAGAAGTAGAAAATTTGCGAAACTGCAAAAGTTGTTTCTTGAAGTTGTCGTGAATATTACACTAAAACATTCAAAAAATTGTAAAACGGAATGTTTTATAACGGCAAGGTACAGTCTCAAATTATACAGTCCGTTTTTAAACTGTTGCAATCTTGTAAATGGTAATATCTACAAGGTTTGTTGAATTGGAAAAAAGTTTTCTATTTTGGGAACTCGAATAATCTCTCCTCAGATCGGGAATATCTGTGGTTGAT